GGAGCAGGCAGATTTGGGGATTCAGTGGTGGTCCCTTTTGCCTTGTTCTGTAACAATAAAGAAGACATAAAAAAAGAATAAAGAAGACATAACCTCCTAGGCATTAGTGGGGAGGTTTTAGGGTGAGAGGAAAGATTTTTTTTAAAAGAAGCTGTAGACTGTTACAGGGCAACCCCAATGTGAAATGGGTTATCTGATTGGGTCCTCACGTACACACTTAAAAGGGACTTATAATGAGACTCAACCACAGGCACACAAAAAAGGATAATAAAGAGTTTATTTACAAAAAGAGGAAATGAAAGGAATAACTCAGGGAGAAAGGGGGAGAGATAAATTGGTAAATGCATCCTACCAGTTTGCTAGCTGGGACCCCAAAAGCATGCTGAAAATACCGCAATAAACCAAGCCCCCAAGGCCCACATGTCTGGTTATATACTAAGCCTGGCTGCTTAACACCACCCTCAGTTCCTAGCAACCCTCCCTTTGGTAATGATGACATTATGGGATGTGTAGTTCTTGCTGTCTTTCTTGGATCTCTTTGGTCTGCAGTGGGGGTGGAGTCCATAAAACCTGTTTGTGGAGTCCATTCTGGACAACTTTTCCCCCAACAGAATGAGAAGATCTACATCACAAGGGCCTGGTTTCTCTTTGCCCACTCCTTACCCCAAACAGAAATCAAACCCCTGTTACAGAGCATGTAATGAGAGCCCCCACCCCCCAAACCTGCTTGCTCTAAATAGGTTCTGCCATCCACCACATAAAGATAAAACAGATTTTAGTGCTTAAGACCTTCAAAATAACTTTAATATAATTAATGCACAAAAAAGAAAAGAGAAGAAAAAGGGTATAGTTTCTCTATCAAGCACCCAAAATTATCCATCCCCTCATGGGTAAGTGCCCAACTACATTTGGGTTGGGCCACCTGTTAGGCCTGTCTGCTCAAGGTCAAGGCACCCTCTGGCCTTCCTGCCCTGCCTGTACTAGTCTAACATTCCAGCCTTTTTGGTGTAATAGGGTGCCACCCTCTCTAACTACTTCCTGCTGAGTAGGGTCCTAGAGCAGTTCTGGCTGGAATGTTGGAGTGCTGGTCAGGGTGGCCGGTTGGTTCCAGAATTTGTAGGCAAAGGTTGATAAGGGTAGAGCAAAAGTTGCTTAAAATGTAGGCCAGTCCGGGCAGCACAGGGAGGCCTGATCTTGCCAGATTGGCCTAACACCACTAAGGCCTAAAAGTTTCCCACTAGTCTAAGGTTGATTCTGGTATATTATGGACCCGTACTGTGGCAGAAGGGGACAGGCAAGTCTGAAAAGAGCAAAATCAAAACACAAACATGATAAAGTCTTCCTTGGGGTCTCTTATCCACCTGTCTGTTTCAAGTTTCTCCTTCCACTTCCCCCAAGACCCTGATCCGAGTACAAAGCTTATATTTAAATTTTTTTTCATATAAATATTTTTTTCTATTCATGTACATTTATTTTTTATTCATATATATTTCTTTTTATAGTCATATATATTTCTTTATATAAATACATAAATGTTTACTATACAAATATATACATGTGTGTGTATATATACACACATATATATTTGTATAGTAAACATTTATGTATTTTATATGTATGTATATATATACATGTACATATATACATATATACATACATATATATATCTATATATATATATATATATAGACATGAGCAGATCCAAAAGATTTTCTGAGTGCTGGGCTACAATAAGATGCGCACAATGTGGATAGAGAGATCTGCAAGTGTGAGCGAGGCCCAGTTGGGCTGCAGTGCTCACTAGCTGCTTCTCTGTGCTGCTCTCACAAATGAGGTTCATAAAAGAAGCCCAAGCCCTTGGGGGTCCTGACATCTGAGGGAGTGTGGTGGGGTGGGGAGGTTGGAGCCACCTGTCTGCCTGCTTTTAGAGACCAGGGAGGGCCCATTCCATTCTAGGAGGTTGCAACCAGATCTCAACGCAAAGGTCTTGAAGCCCAGTAAGGAGTTTCCTGAACCCGGGGACAAACTCTCAAGTGCAGCGTCGGGGCGGGCCACTCGCAGTGGGGCGCGCTCTCGCAGCTGCAAGAATAGTAATGAAACTTGGTTTTTTTTTTTTTTTTTAATCTTGACCTCTGCAAGACTTGGCCTTTTTTTTTTTTTTTTGGTAAATTGCTCAGACTGGACAGGCCCCGCCCTTCCGCACCCGGCTCAGCGGCCTCGGGGGCCGCCCCGCCCGCGCTCCCAGCGGGTTCTACTTCCCAGACTGTTCTGGAGGGCCTGGTGGTGGCGGTCCATGGCGCTGCCCGCCTGGCTGCAGCCCAGGTAGGGCTCTCCGCCGAGGCGGGGAGGGGAAGGGGCGCGGGAGGAGGGACCTTTGGGGGCGGGGACACCCGCACTCGGCGCCTGGACCCGAGGGAGCCAGCGCAGTGCAGCCCTGCACACTCTGGTGCTCTTGAGAGGTATTTAGCGCATTCAGTTCTCTCGACCAGTCCAGGAAGAAGGCTCTGGTATTTCCCCCATTTTACAGACGAGGAAATGGGCAGGACTGCCTGCTGGATCAGCCCTTTCTTCTGTGTGTCCTCTGCTCATCCTTCCCAGCTTTTTCCCTCCCCTCTTTCCTCACCCCCACCCCCTGGCCCATCTCCGGACGTTTCAGACCCAGTGCTGCAGATCAACCGGCTACTGAAACTTCCAGCACCGCTATCTTCCAGCCCGGAACGGGAACTGCTGTCTTGGTATAGCGGTAGATCTCGGGAGGTGTATTTTAACCTACAAGCCAATGGCTCTGATTTGGGCCAAAAGGAAGGAATTCTTCTTTAAAATAGTTCCCATCATCTGTAGGGTGCCCTATCATCACACTACTGTCTGTGCTTGCCGACTTATTTGCCTGTTATCTCAGGTTTGACATTCCTGAAGATAAAATCTTGGCTAGCTGTCAGGGCCACGCCCCCTATCTTTCTGAACCCTCAAGGGATACCTCCAGCAGCGTTTTCCCTCTCACAAACTCTCTCCGTCCATCTTCTCGTAGTCATCTCCCCAGCAATCCATGTTTAAACTCAGCTTGACTTCCCTTTTCTGGCCCCAGCCACTGAACTGCTCTGTGAGTGTGTCAAAAGAGGAAGAGAATCTACTCTTGCAAAGGAATAGGAGGCCGTGGTGCTTGCGGACCTGGATCACACAAAGCGATCAAAAGTGCAGAACAATTCAGAGACTGAATTGTTCACAACTTGGACTGCCACCATCACTGCTCCTCTCTTGTAACTATACACCCCTCTTTCTCACGTTCTGCTCTTGGCAAGCCAAGTGGGATACATGTTGAGCCTATCAGTCCAGCTCCAGCCGTCTTCCCCCCCCCCCCAAAAATAACATTCAGAGCATTTTTTTCCAATGATTATTCGTATCCCTCAGTGAGGAGCAAGGTTCGAACTTGAGCAAAGATGAAAGTGGATTTTGAATAGAACCACATTTGGTTTTAAGCAAAGTAAGGAGTCTCATTTTAGCATATAACATGTGTTCTGTGTCCTTTCAAAATCTGATGTGCATTTGGGGATAACTAAATAAAAGACTCTGATGTGGAGTCATTTTCTCTTGCTTGTTCAGGTTGGCTCATATGTTAAAGGGCATGTGTGTAACATGGAAAGAGTGATTTAATTGAGGAAGTGTCTGATATTACTTTCCTGTATTTGTAGGTATAGGAGGAGCACCTATCTTTTCATTTACTACCTGATCCAGTTCTGTGGGCACTCATGGATATTTACCAATATGACAGTCCGGTTCTTTTCATTTGGAAAAGGTAAAACTTCAAAACAGATTTTGATTATTCATTGTTAATCCTGTTTCATCTAGTCCAGTTTATATTAATTTTAAATTTAGACTTCTGTGAACTTCAACTAATATCCTGCACACCTCTAAAACCTAATAACAATACTTTTCAGTAACCATGTTTCTTGCTTACTGTGAAAACCAAAGCTTTTGTGGAGGAGGGGGGAAGGAAAATGAAGGGATTTGACTTCCTCGTGAGTGGGAAATTTGCCCTGAAAAGGTGTGCCCTTACGGTGGTGCCTTTTCACTCTTCCTTTCTGGTTCTGCCCAAACCACAGCAGGGTTAGTGTGTGGTTTTGACAAATATCTTTAAATTCCACTAGAATATTTTGAGCAGCGATATCAGGAATTAATCAAATACTTCCCCATGTTTTTTTCTTCCCCAAGTTTAGGAGAACTTCAAGTTACTCATAAATAAAAGACAAACTTTCTATCCCACAAACCTCTTATTGCTCCCTTCAAAGGTCATGTGTCCTTGAGAAAATGGCACACTTTGTAGATGACTCAGTACACATATATGAGTTGGTATTAAAGGCTTAGTCATAAGCTTCCTCTAGTTTCCTAAAAAGTGAAGATTTTAAAGAGCATTTCAATTTTCAGTGAAAAATGAATCACTAAATGACTGTCAAAATAATATGCTTTTCATGTTCCATCCTCACATGGCTAAGTGTCATTACAGTTTACAACTGTTCGGTGACTCGACAATTTGAGCAACTGCTGGTTTCAGCTAAAAACAAACTGCTGGTTTCCCAGATAACATATCTGGGAAAAGTCATGCTGTGCGCAACAATTCTGACTGATGTATCATAGAAGATTAATCTAAATACTATTTTATGTTGCTTTTTCCTATTGCAAATCTACAGATAAATTCTTGCCCTTTATCGAGAGCCTCCAGAGATACAACCTAAGGCTTGAATTGCAGCTATAATTATTGGAGGTCTGCAAACAGAGAAAACCACAGGCATGGGAAAACTTTCCTTACATTAAAAAAAAAAATCACTCAGGGTCTTAGAAGTTAACTGTAGCTTTGTGGGCATTTTATAGATCATTCACAGCACAAATCATAAGCACGAACTCTTTCTTAAGCCTCTCCAGTGGGAAAAATGGCCTGAGTCAGCAGTGTATTTATTTCTTAATTATTATCCTGCTGTTATAATTATAGCAGCTGCTTTTTATTAAAGAACTAAAACCCATTCCTATGGAAGGCAGCTGAAAATAAGTAAGTGGGGATGCGGCATGACTTTGGAGTCAATGTATTTAAGTTGTAGAGCATCAGCAATCTAATTACCTGAACTACTAAAACACGCCACCTTCTTCCTTTCCAGCACTGTGTAACTGACAGTATTCTGGCACAGACAGTGTAAGGCAGCCTAAGGGTGTGGGCCTCGCCTCAGGAATCATCTGTGAAATGGTGTGATAATAGTGTGCTCCTCACAGAGCGGCCGAGAAAAGAAACCCTTAGTGCTTGATAAATTATTGTGTGAATGATCACTACACAATATAGACTGCAAAGCTTCACTAGAAGCTTCTGAACATGGCAAAATTTCATTTTAAAATTTAAAGAGTGTTTCTGATTCATGGGGACATTTGTTTCACTGCCATTTCAGCTGTCTCCAAATGTATAATTTCATTTGGGTTCTCTGGAACGCAAAATCCAAAATTCAGCATTAAGAACTTCAAACTTCAGTGTCTAAAACTAACAAAAACCCAGCAAGTAAGTATGTATAGCACCTAGTATGTATAGCGCACAAATGCTGGACACATGTGTTATTTAATATCCTATCATTAATGTGGTTTCCATAAGACTCTTAATTCGTATTTTTCTATGTCTCTGCCTTTTTCTTGTCAATGGAAAAGTTGGAAACAAGATAACTTTTTAAATATGCTTACCCTCTACCTTTTTACATTTAATTTTCCTAGAGTCTAAGGGGCCACTTTAAGGAGGAGTTGCTTTATTATTTAAAAAATAATAATATAATAGTTTATTTTAACATCATTTTCTGCATTTTTCATTCTCAGTTGTAATCCCTGGGGGCTTCCCATCACCAAATCACCCATATACCATCACCATAGTCCAGTGCACTTCCTTCTGCCAACTGTTTTTTTATCCCATTCCCCATTTCACCCCTGTAAAATGTGTCTGGTTGCTCATTATTATTATTATTTTCTTGCTTGGTCCTTTATACACCTGCTATGAGTGAAACCATCCAGTATTTTTCCTAGGAGTGGCTTTATAAGCCATCATATGGGGAAATACCATAACTTGGGTATGGAGCCTTCTTCAAGTTATTTCTGGAAGAAGAGCAAATGTACTGTCATATGAAGGACTTCTTTGATTGCATTGTATTCTTAGTAGCTTAGTAGCCTACTTAGAAAATTTCTCACATGCACAATTTAAAAAAGAATAATCCCAGTTTTATTACAAAGTACTGTGTAGATTTGGGTTGAGGTCAAGTTTTTACTTACTATATCTGTATGTTCCATTCACTGGACACAGATTCAATGGCTGACACGTTTTATGCTATTGGGCTTATGATGCAACTTTGCCAGTCCATTTCCCTGTTGGAGTTGCTGCACATATTTGTGGGCATTGAGTCAAACCTTCTTCTTCCGAGATTTCTGCAGGTAGGTTTTAAACACATTTGATAATTATTATTACTTTAGAATCTGATTCATACTAATGTTTGTTTCAATTTGCAGCTGCTTTTGACTTTATAGCAAGAAGCTAATATCTGCTAATTTCAACCCTAGTCACTAACACATGAGAATGTCATGAAAAAATGAACTCTTTCTAAAATGTTGAATAGGGTGAAAAGCCACCTGGATACATTCAGGGCAGTGATGCTTGTGGATTTAGTGATCCTTCGGAGGATCATGACCACGACCACCACAGTGGTGGGTATAGGTCAGTGGACAGGGCTTAGATTGAGGCCCATCAGGCTTGGTTTGGACCCCTGGCTCTTGCACTTATCACTGGGATCATGTCACTCACAGTTATTGGGCCCTTTGAGGGAAATGTCATGATACAAAATGATAAGAGAAAAAAACAAAACAAAAACACCAAGTTCCTTTTATCCCTATCCGGACAATGAAAGCATCTCTAGTTATTATTTATTTTGCCACTTTTACTAACCACAGATGGAAAGATCATTTACATTTTTCTAGTGTAGTATCTCATTATAGACGTGGGGATCACATTGACTTGGACTGAAATTCCAGTTTACTTGTTACTAGCTGTATGTATCTAAGCAAATCAATCAATTATTTTGAATCTCATTTTCTCATGTTACATGAAAATCAAAACATATGTCTCATGGAGGAAAAAATGTGTGGGCTAAGTTCCTAGCTCTTAAAGGTGTGATAGCTAATAGCTATTGCTATTAGTTATTATTTCTTTCCTCTACCATGTCTCTAGCTGTAGATGACCAAGCTTCTTACCAAGTCATGTTAAATGAAAGTGGAAAATTCACTGGTAGAGACTTAATATAGGAAAACATTGCTGGATTAAGGTAAGACAGAGAGAAAAAAAGCGGTATTTTCCATAAGAACAAAGAGATAAGAGTTAGGTGATTATATGAACATGTGTTTAAAGTCTAGAAAAAAGGTATTCATAAGTATTGTTTTTGCTGGTTGTAAAATACATTTGAAGATAGATAAATGATTTGATCATTGGTGCATTATAAAATCATTAAAACATCAGATATAATTACATTGTCAGCCCCTGGCAAAGTGCTTAGAAATAAGCTACACCTTAAATTTTTGTTGACTGCAGGAATGGCATAGAATATTGTATTAAAATTTGCTTAAAATATCAATAAAGTTTAAAAGGTGAAAATAGGAAGGTCTTCTTAAGAAGTCTATTAAGAATGAAGCATTTTAAGTTTATGGGTTATCTTAAATTTTCCATATTTAATAAAAGTAGAAATTATTAGAATGAAGACATCTTAAGTGTTGAAATCTCAGCTGTAGACTGAAGTTCTGGGCCCTCCCTGGTGGTGCAGGGGTTAAAGACACAGTACTATCAAGCTATCACCAGCCACTGTGGCATGAGTTTGATGCCAGCCAGGGAGTTAACCCACATGGTGCAACAGATCTCTCCTGTCTTGCCCGCTGCTCCCCTAGCCAGTGTATTTCATTCGATTGCCTGTTCCACTCCCCACTCTGTCTCTGGTGAATCCTCTGACCCCTCCCCCACCTCTGGCCTACGCCCCAGCTCTTTTGTGTATGGATTCTTTTTGTTGATTTAAGAGTTTACCTGTCCTTTCTATTTTTTTTTAAATGGTTTTCAGAATGTATGTGGTGTTGGAGAAAGCTTAAAAAACACAAGTCATAATTCAAAGTTTCATTTTCTCCTCCCTTATTTATTAGAGTTCTGTAGCCAGTTGAGAGAATTCCCTCATTCTGAGATGACTCTGATGTCTCTGCTTTAAAATAACCAAACAAAACTGTAAGGTTGTGTAATCATTCTTGGTTTTCCTGTTTCCCCATTTTAAATGAAAAAACTGTTGTTGAGAATGTGACTAAGCTACTGCCACGGTGGTCATAGCTGATTGCAGATGGCCTCTTGAACAATAGATAGTGTCCAGCTGCTTTCGAGTGGGTTGAAAACCACATTGGCTCATTTGTGATGTTACTTGGACACTGCCCTTGCAAGAGTGCTAAGTCTCAAATGAATTTTCTTTTTTTGGGAACTGGTCTTCCAAAGTATCAGGATAAGTAATTTCTATAGGCAGTAGGAAGTATTAGCTAATTCAGCAAATAGAATTACCTGTAGAGAGGGGGGCATTTTCTTTGTTTTGTTCTGTGCATTTGAAAATGTTTTGTACCTGCAGCTTTGTTTTGGCAGTTAGGGAAGAGCTATTATGAATCGTTTTAAAAAAGATTTATTTACTTATGCACACAAGAACTGGGGGCAGGGCAGAAGTGTTGTGCAATAGGATTCACCAGAGTCAGAGTGGGGAGCAGGACAGGGAAGTCTACTGAAATGCACTGCTGAGGGGAGCAGCTGGTAGGTCAGGAGAGGTCTGCTGTGCCATGTAGGTCAGCTCCCTGACCATGGGTTGAACTCAGGCTGCAATGGCTGCCATTAGCTTGATAGTGCTGAGACTTAACCCCTTGTGCCACCAGGGAGGCTCCATTATGAACTTGTAAGATTACACACAATAAAAGAAAAGGAAGTGGGCCTCCCTGGAGGTGCAGCGGGTTAAAGCACTGCACTAAGAAGCTAAAGCCACTTCCGCATGAGTTCGATTCCCGCCTGCCTCGGAGGTGACCATATGGCGTGGCAGACCTCCCCTGACCCACCCGCTGCTCCCCTCAGCAGTGTACTTCGTCGATCTGCCTGTTCTGCTCCCCGCTCTGTCTCTGGTGAAGCCTCTCACCGCCCCTGAGCCTCTGGCCTGTACCCCAGTTCTGCATGCACAAATAAATCTTTAAAACAAAAAAAAGGAAAAGGAAGAAATCCATTGACACTAAGACAATAATTTAGCACAGAGATATATATTTTATATATTTAAAAATACCCTTTAGGGGAAAGGGAAAAACAGTATCATAAATAGTTGTTTTTAGGCTTCTATCCCAGTTAAAATAATTACATGTATAAAGTAGTAATGTACAAATGAACCAAAAAAAGCATATAACTGTTGGAAGAAATGACAGCTGAAAACCAGGCTTCTCTCCTTTCCATCCCAAATGAGCATCCATATTTTATTAGTTTTGTAAATAAAAGTTGGATTAGGAAATCAGTTTATTTTAGTAGACTTAATCAAAACAATTTGCGTTAAAAGAGTGGAAGTACTACCAACATTGAAATGTTAGTTTTGAGGGACTTTGTTCTAACTTTGCTTATGAGAAAGAGGTTTTGGTTGATGATATAGCTTAAATATTTAGAATATTTTAACTTTAGGAGTGGGGAAAATATCCACAAAATTTTTAATCTTTGTCATGAAATTAGAGAAATGTCTCTTTACTAACCAAGTTTAATCTTTTACCTTTTGAGAAATGCTTTACATGCAAAAAGTTCATCTATAACTGACTTAAAATAACTAAAATCTGCATCCTTACTTAGTTCACAGTAAGTACTCAAGCAACATGAACTCATTTTTCAGTTTCTAAAAACTGTACATCAAAACAGTAGGGATTATCACCCCCAAGTTATTGTGCCCATTGTGAGCACTATTTTGATACTTACCAATATCACCTTATTCCTATTTCTGACAAGGGCAAGAAGAGATTTGCTTGCCAAGAATCATCACTCTGTAGAATTTATATTCGCAGACTCTTATGAGAATTGATATGAAGGAAATCCCAGAGGAGAGTGTCTTAATGTAACCCTTTTAAGAAAACAGTCAAGTTCTACCCTAGTTTCTTAACCGGGAAGCTGATGCTTCTTTGCATTGTTAGAGTAATAATTTTCTGATTTTCCATAAAACCATGTATATTTTTCTCTCATGTTTTGATTTGGAATCTGGTTCATATTATTAGTTAAAATTACACCAAAGAGAATATCAAGGTATAAGATTCTCTGAACTTTGGAGACTTCTGGGAATTAATAGATGCATAATTCACTCTGTAGATAAGATTTTGAATTTTCTTCTCTTTGCTTTTAAATTTTTCATGTGATTAAAGCTATATTTATAGTATGATTTTAAAGATACTGAGGTTAACTTTAATGGGAAGAGCCCATAAAATAACAAAGGTGAATAAAACAGAGTTTCAGAACAAGGCACTCAGAATCACCTGGTCTAGGTTTTTAGTTAAGATGTGAAGCAAGTCATTTTCACTCTGTGAAGTATAGTGTCCTTTGTAAAAGATGATGACAATATGCTTACACCTTAGGGTAATGGAAATTAAACGAGATGGTTTATATTCAGAAATTGGCACAAAGTAACTTAAAAAAATCAGCTTTTATCAATTTAAGAATATCTCCATCTAATTCTCCCATTATGTTACTACCGAATGCTTATGATGGAGTTTAGTAGCCATCAGATAACTTGGATATTAGATTGACAATCATGGAGGGGAGTGTTCATATAACTTGGATATTAGATTGATAATCATGGAGGGGAGTCTTCATATACTCACATCTGTGTATGCACTGTGTTACGTTTGGCGGGAGGCACATTGACTGTTGATTTCCATACAGTTGGGATTCCATCTGTATGCCACAGGAACTCAAGTGATAGTTTTCAACAGGGCAGATTTCATTGTGAATCATCTTTTGGAAGATTCCCCCCTCTCTACTCAGTAACTAAGAGGCAGCCAGATATCATGTATAATTTACAACTCTGGAAACCAGGAGACCTGGGATATATGTGTCCATTCCATTCTGTCCCTAGTTTGAGCAAGACACCGAATGCTTTTTTTCTGGTTCCCAAATTCCATATTTATAAAAAAAAAAAGGTTGACTGGGCTAATATTTAAAAAAGATACTAGCTATCCATCTTATCAAGAGCTGTTTTTTCTTTCAATAGTAAGTGATTAGAAGTGTGTTGTGTACACATATTCATGTCTAAGTGTTTCCTATGACTTTTATCAAAAATTAGATGATTTTCCTAATTAACAGGCACTGATCAAATGTAAGATTAGGCAGGGTCTATGTATTTGCTTGCTGTTAAGATCTTGTATCTGATCGCTGCCAGGTGTCATGACAGCTAGCTTGGATTATTCAGTTAATTATAATTGCAGTTAAAATAATCAATGACATAAACATAATTAAGTCATGAAAATAGGGCAGTACATAGAGTGTCAAAAGCAAAACAGTGCAGTAGCTAGCACCTATAGATTGAGAAAGGTTTGAATCATATCTAATTCCCTTAGCCAAGCAAGGACCCATTGAGTCACTATGAGGCACAGACATGCTGAGATAGTTTGTACATGTGGATTTCTGATCATGTGTCTGATCATCTGTGGAAAATTTTGAACTTCTGTGCAGTAGGTAATTCTCCAGAACTAATATCCTATGATTTTAAGTCATAGATTATCCCAGTCCTTTCTCCTTAGTCCACAGTAAAAATAAAAACAGCAATTGAAAAATAGAAAGCAGTCCTCCCCTTTCCTTTTCTCTCATGTGTCCTTCAATATTTTCCTTTGACCACTGAGAACAAAGAAAAATATTCTACTAATGTGCACAAAATGCAGAATGTTCAGGAGGTATTACTACAATATAAGAAGGCACATTATATTTAGATAAGAAAAGAGGAAGGCATTTTTTGAGGTTGGTAATTAGAGTTTTTAAGCCATCAGTTTGTGAATTCTCAATGATTTGTAATTGTTTACTGACTTGGAAAAAATATGAACATGCCGAATTCTTTTCATTTTCCATGGGCTTATAAGAATTAGGGTTATGTTACTCTCCTGCACCCAACCAAAAAAAAAAAAAAAAAAAAAACTGCTAAAGCTTCTCCTGTTGTATGAAGTTGAAATTTTTCTGCCTGTTGTTCAAAAAACGCTTTACAACCCAGTCCAACACATCTTCAGTTTTATCTCCTATTATTTCCTTATGCACATTAAAGAACTGTGGCCCCATGATTCTTAGTACTTGCCAAAGAACTGTGGCCCCATGATTCTTAGTACTTGCCAAAGCAACTTACCTTTCACATCTCTGCTTCTTTGCTGGGTTTGCTGCTTGGGTCTGGGGTGCCTGTTCCTTTCCTGTTGGCCTGACAAACTCCTATCCATTCTTCAAGACCCAACTGAAATGTTGCCTGTCATCAGAGATCTCTGCCTCCTTTCTCCAGGCAATAGGGAACACCCAACAAAAGCTTGTCCAAGTAAATGAAAACATGTGTGCCTGTATCTCAGAAGGGAAATACTCTGATTCAGATAAAATGTTATCTTTTCATTCATCATTTACCATTTAGAGAATACTGAAAAACAAAAAATGGAGGAAATGAAATTCACCCATAACCCTTCTCCTTGAGAGATAATGTTAATAGTTTAGTATGCATATTTCCAATTAAAGCATGTCTTTTGGAGGAACTCTGGTTTATAAAATTAGAAAATTACCTACATGCTTAACAGATGATCCTAATTCTTGACTTTACTGTTTCTTTGTTAGCTCACAGAGAGAATAATCATCCTCTTTGTGGTGATCACCAGTCAAGAGGAAGTTCAAGAGAAATATGTGGTGTGTGTTTTATTCATCTTTTGGAATCTATTGGATATGGTTAGGTAAGGAGGCAAATGACTTCTTAAAACAAGACTAAATTGCTTTCTACAATAAGGCCGGTAATAACTGCGTACATTTGGTTACTCTGAATGAGAGAGAAAAACATAACTCCTTTGCAAATTATTTTATCTTGATATGGAAATGTATTTTTAGTACTTTCCATAATGGGCATAACAAAGATAATGAAAACCTACCATGGAATTACAAGAGCAAATCAGTGCGTTTGGGTTTCTAGCAGAAGACTTGGCATGACACCAATTTGGAATAAACCTCACAGCTGTTTGCTAATGAAAGGCATTCCTTGCAATTGCTCCAGTACATGTTACTTTAATAAGCAAAGCAAGACTTTTATTATATCAAGTCTGAATTTACAAAGTTGGTTTCTGTAAATTCAAGAATATTTTAAGTTTGGGGCCTCATCTCTCTGGGGGAAAGTGCATCTCTGCAAACATTTGTTGGTGTACAATTCCAGTGAGTTCAAATGACTGTGGACTCCCCGGAATCTTTGGAGTTCAGGTTAGGAACACTTGCTTTAGAATGTCTTCAGTTTCGTTCCCCTTCTAACACTTGGCCACTTTGCGATAAGATGAACTTAGTTTTGTCTCTGCCAGCAGTGGCTCACTCTGGGGTGTTGTCACAACTGCTATTTGAACTTTCATGAACCAGTGAGAACTGGTCCTCCCACCTGAAAGATCTGGAGATGACAACTGGGGGAGGAAATGGTCTGGCATTTTACCTGAGGTTATGTAAATTCTGTACTTATATGGCCAATAACTTAGTTGAATTGCAATATTTCTAAATAATGGCTTGAGCCTTACTGTGAACTGGAATAAAATACCTGTTGAATTCAAGTGACTACAGTTCTTTGTATATATAACTTAGTAAGCTACTTCTCCTTTTTTAACTAGTACTTTTGTAGACTTGGGGCAAATTTTATGGACTCTGGTAGCCTGTGGCTTCTGGTTCATGAGATGTTGGCACCTCATCTGGGACTGTGACTTTCTGATATATTGTTCTCTAGTATACCTAACTCTTTCTGTATTGATTCAGTCTCAAATGAACCCAGTGGAGACATTTAAGAAAGAAACGTCTTGCATTTGGATAGAGAAGTAGATCTCAGACTATACTTGTCTCCACTACTTACTTGCTATATGACCTTGGGCAAGTCCACTTAGTTCTTTTAAAAAATAAGTGTTGAGATGTAATTTGCACACCTTAAAAGTCTACCTTTTAAATATAAAATGTGCTATTTTTAGTGTATTCAAAGACATATACAAACATCAATATTTCTAATTAAAGAGCATTTTCATTACTCCAAAAGAAACCCCACATACATTAGCAGTATCTCATGTCAGCTCCTGACAAGTACATGCTGTCTCTATGCCTATCCTGAAGATTTGTGATTGGCTTTTTTACATTTAGCATCTTTTCAGGTTCTTGATGTTGTAATATGTGCCAGTATTTCATTCCCTTTTTGTGACTGAATAATATTCCATTGTATCAACTTACTACTTTTTTTATCAGAGGAGAATTAGGGTCCTGGACTGAGAGAGAGTTCCCTTTCTTTGTTCATGTTTCTAAGGCTTGGGGTTTTGTTTTGCTGAATGTATTCTAGTAGTTCTTGAGATGTGGTCTCGGGACCAGTGGTGTCAGTATCACTGGGTCTTCCCTTGTCATACAAGTTCTCAGACTCTTCATCAGAATCACTGATCAGACACCCAAGGAATAGCAGTCTGTACATTAGCAGGCCCTCCGGAGGCTTCTGATATATACTTAAGCTTGAAAACCACTGGCTATTCAGAGAAATGAAGAGATGAGCACTATTTCATCTATTATATCAGAAAGGGTAGGTTTAAAACTACCAGTGGTATCCAAAGCAGACTAAGTGGAGGTCTTGAATTGATCACTGAGATGGCACAACAGCACAAGCAGAGGGAGGCCAGATGAGGATATAGCAGTCATATTTTTTCTTTAAAATTTCCATAGACATTTTCCAGTATGTGTGTCTTACAAAGCTTAACTGCTTGCTGCATAAAGTGACCTTGGCTTCTGAGTAAAATTGAATAAGTAATTAAAGAAACTTGTCACCATAATTTGTGGGGGATAAGTCTTATTTTTCTTTGCTCCCCTCCACATTTATCCATGATTCACCTCATGAGACAAGCCAAACTTACAATGTCTTCTTTCTCTATTATAAACAACCTCTTTTACTTAAACCAGAAAACACTGATAGAGTGAGGACATCACATGCTTTCCAGTTTTATCTATGTATTTAATTATGGAGTGAGGTATTTTCTTCTTTTGGTATTTGCAGGATGTCAGTAGCAAATGATGTTTATGAGTTCCTTGTCTTCTTCAGGTACACTTACAGTATGTTGTCAGTCATAGGACTATCTTACGCTGTCTTGACCTGGCTCAGTCAAACATTGTGGATGCCGATTTACCCTCTGTGTGTTCTTGCTGAAGGTAAGGAGAGAGTACCTTGCTGTGTTGCTTACTGTTGAAGGCAATGTAGATTAAATGGTTCACAACATTTTTGATGATTAAATTACTATTTTTGCTATTGGTTAGCTAACTCAATGGATCTTTCCTGGCATATTTCCCTTGATTTAAAGAAACAAAGCATTAAACAACAAAGTCAGAGGAGGAAGCAGTGCAGAGTAGTCAACATATTGGATGAGGAATGAAGACCTGCGAGTCTAGGTTCTTACCTTCATCAACTCAAAGTATGAGTTTTGCATAAATCATTTAAACACTCAAAGTCTGTTTCTTTATCCAAAAGAGATTTATCGTTTAGTGATTATTTTTAATGCTTAGAAACTCAGTACTCTCTGGTTGGACTAATCTTTCCACTTACTTTCTACTCTGGATCCCACACTCTACCAGAGATCAATCATTTACCTTTAGATCAATCATCTACCTTTAGATCAATCATTTTCTCAAGGAAGCACTCCTTTACTTTGTCAACCAAGTCAGTAACCACAATACAGCATCATAGACCTTTTATAAGATCTATCTCAGCTGTCATTAGACATTTGTATAATAGTATGTTTTGTTTTATGTCTATTTAAGTCACTGGCCACTAGACTTCATGAAGATATAGGGTTTTCTTTATTTCCTTGGTGCCTTTCTCTGATGCACCCAGTATAGGTGCTCAATAAACATTGAATAAATTACTGAATACAAAATGAAGTAGGTGAATTACTTAGTCAAAATGTGAACTTAAAAATTAAAATCATCGGCCCTCCCTGGTGGCGCAGTGGGTTAAAGCACAGCATTGAGAATCTAAAGCCGCTTCCGCATGAGTTCGATTCCTGCTTGCCCCGGAGGTGACCACATGGCGCAGCAGTACTCTCCTGACCCGCCGGCTACTCCCCTCAGCAGTGTACCTCGTTGATCTGCCTGTTCTGTTCCCCACTCTGTCTCTGGTGAAGCCTCTCACCGCCCCTGAGCCTCTGGCCTGTATCCCAGTTCTGTATGAACAAATAAATAAATCTTTAAAATAAAAACAAACAAAAAATTAAAATCATCAATTTGCAAAGAGCTTGTGGATATTTGGGAAATAAAGGCATCCATATGTAATAGATTTACTACACAGGGATATTTCTGAAAGCTGTGATTGAAGTGTCTGAGAGGTCTAAAGAAATCAAGAAAGCACATTACGGTAATGAAGGTAAAACATATAGAAACAGATAAAACATTAAAGTGGTGACACTGGCAATAATTTCATAGTACATTAAATACAATTGAGCTATTTAGTGATGATCAGAGAGAAGGAATGTACACTAAATCACTATTTATAATTTTAAAACTTGTTTTCAAGAGAATTATTAAATTTTTAAATAGGCTATGTTGAGTCCAGAGAATAATCTTTTTGAAAAATGTCTACTTCTTTGAGAATGAAATTCATCACTCATTGAAACATTTATTGTAAATATACTTATACTTAATATATATTTATATTTATTACAAATATAGAGCTTAGATTTAATTTGATATTCCTTTTGTTATATAAAATATATGATAATATAGAATACATAAAGGAATAAGATAGAAATAATCTTTTTCTAAAAATGAGGAATGAATAAATGCATAGAAATCTTTCCCATTCTTATAATTCATAATTCTGAGCCATCTCCCCATCAGGAATGTCATGTTCCTAGATGATAGCCATGCAAGTCATGGTTTTTTAATAAAATTAAAATCAAAACCTTTTCTTGCAATTAAAACATCAATAGAAATAGAAAAAATGTCTGGAAGCATATATGGCAAAAGTCAACTCTACTTCTGGGTGATGGGATATATTGGACTATAATTTTATCTTTGTATGTTTCCAAATATTTAAAATGTTCCAAAGTATACAAACATGTAGTAAGAAAACCTACTTGATTTTTAAAAAATGTGGCATAATTCAACAACTATAGTTTCTCATTTGATAAATGTGAGACAAAAATCAAGTTCCTATAAAGAACTAACTCAAATATTTATATTGATGAACAATGTAGGAGCTTCCCTGCAATGCCTGGAACTGTCATGGTGCTTTGGTGCCATCTGTGTAGATGCCCAACTTCCCACTCTTTCAACTGTGGGTGCCTGTTTATTTTTTTAAGATTTATTTATGCACTCAAGAACTGGAGTACAGCCCAGAGGTATGGCAGGTGAGAGCATTCACCAGAGACAGAGTGGGGAGCAGAACAGACACATCTACTGAAATACACTGCTGAGGGTTCAGGAGAGGTCTGCCATACCATGTGGGTCACCTCTGGGGTAGGGAGTGAACTTATGCTGCAGTGGCTGTGGACAGCTTCATAGGGCTGTGCTCTAATCTACCAGGGAGAGCCCTTATTAAACTTTTAATACAAAAGTAATTTTAGCTCAAAAGCACTTGCAAAAATAGTGCAATTTTGCATGTATACTTCACCCAGCTTACCCTAATGATAACATTTTTCCTGACCATAAAACATTGTCATTTCATCCCATGAAATGTTACCAAAAACTCACAGATGGGGAGATAATTTCATAAAATCTCCATGTCTTTTTTACCTAAGACCAGCCTTTTCCCTAAAAATAATTTGGACAGCATTTCTCAGAGTTCCTCAGAATGTTTATTAAATACTGCTGGGGTGGGAAGGAAGAAATAATTTCAAGTACATTTAGGCTAAGGAAATGTCTAATGAAGCCAGTTTTTTTTACTGCAAAACTTTTCAGAATCTCTACTAATATGTGTTGTGAAATGTCAAGAAGAAAATATGTGTAGCATTTTCTAAGTTCATTTGTCATTTCTATTTGTGGCTAAGGCGCAGGTTTATTTGAGATAACATTTTAAGAAATGTTGCCTATTTCTCTGTAGGCATAGAAGAGTATAGGAAACAAAAATTCAATGAGTAACATGCTGTATGGCCTTGTCAATTTAGTTATTCAGCAGATTTCGTTATCAAACTGATGCTTTACCTGAAGGGTTCAGTCATTGTCACAAAACTGTCATTAAATACAATATCTTTAATATGCGCGCACACACACATCCCTATAACAAGTTGCAGAGAGAAACTTCATAACTCCTTTTTTTCTATAAACAGCATTTGCCATCTATCAGTCGCTGCCTTATTTCGAATCATTTGGCACTTACTCCACAAAGCTGCCCTTTGACGTATCCATTTATTTCCCATATGTGCTGAAAATATATGTTATGATACTCTTTATAGGTAAGTGACTTTTCTATTTTTCCCTTTTGTTTCTGCCTTTTCCTCTTGTTTTGTTCTGCCATCTACCTTAATGAGCGAGGGCAAGGAAGAAGCCTGACCTGACACAGTGCAGCTGATCTTGTTAGTAAAGCACCTAGAAGTTACAGTGCCTTCTGTCAGACACCACCATTTCAAGTGTATCACTCTGTAACAACAGTCAAACTAGTAGAAATTATAACAGCCATTATGTAAAGAATAAAGATGTTTTAACCGTGAACTCAGCTACCTATGAACAAATTCTAGATATCAATTATATCTTGCTTGTTGATTTAGCCATACGTGCTACCATCTCCTAACAGGCAAGTGACAGCAGGTGCTAGAGACTGAAGAAGAATATACTCAACAAAATCTTAGAATTAGGCAAATTTGATCAACCACCTTCATAGTTTTCCCAGAATATTAGGAAAAAGACTACCATTATTAAATTTTACTTTCTCCAGCTCCAACATTTCCAAATCTCCAAGATAATGATTACTTCTAAAAGGTAACAATTGCCAGATATATAAGAGCAATCCAGAAGATGACAGATGTGAAACTTTAGAAGGGGTGATAAGAATGACATGAAAGGCAAAAAAATTAATTCCTTGCAATAAAAAAATAGGATAGAGAAGTTTGCTTACTTCCCTTCTGCAAGAAAATCTGGACATTTCTTTCAGTGGCTTGCTTCTTGTTCTTGCTATGAAGGTAGCACTATGACTAAATTTTAAAGCTATGTTTCTTGGGAGGGCTAGAACAAGTGGATTGGGGGCACAATGGACTGTGGGTGCTTTGGTGGTGGGCATGCTATGGTAAGAACACCTGAAGTGGGAAGGGACCCTATACTTTTAAAGTACTGACAACTATGTTAATCAACGTTACCTTAATTAAAAAGTATGTAAAAAATAAGTTGGAAGCTATAAAAAAATAAGGCCATGGTTCTTTCTAAGATATGGTTAATTAACCTTACTTTTGCCACTTCTTTCTCCATGTTAGGTATGTATTTTACCTACAGTCACCTTTACTCAGAAAGAAGAGACATCCTGAGAATCTTTCCCATTAAAAAGAAAATATGAAGCACTACCGTCCAGTGTGATATCAGGAGACAGGCGTGTAGATACAGCTGTAGTAAATGGCACAGAAGGATTCTAGAGGGAAAATACCTAGTGACTTGATGTGCTATAGTTACCAAAACTCTAGACACATCACACATGTTTCTATGTTTCTCACATATGTTTCTATGTTTCTCACACATTATATTTCCCAAACATATTCTGTATAACCTACTTCATGAAAGCCATAGATTTTATACAATTAAACTAATATTGTGTGAAGCTTGATTATTTTTCCTATAAGGTTAGTTAAAAAAATTAGCTGGTGTAGATTCAATTAAATTAAGAAACCAAAGTTGTAAACCTAAATTACAACTATTTACAGCTATATATTTTTACTTCTGAGTTCCCAAATAGCAGCTGATATGTAGGAGGGGAGTTAACGTGAAATATTTTCTGTAGTTGTCTAGAATAACATATTTTATAGACAGATACCACTGTTTCCAGGCTAACACCCATCTTAAACATTACACACACTTGGAAAATCAAACATCTTTTCAGATCTTGAAATAGTCTGATAATATGCAAGTTATTTGGGCTTTAATTTAATTCCTATTAAGGAATAGAGGACCCAGATGAAAGCAGAATAGACCTTTGGTAAACACACAAATAATGTCCCATCTTCCTTTAGAAGTTATCAGACCATGCATACATACTTTAATGGGATATAAAGGTACAAAAATTTAGTAAATCATTTATATATTTATTCTTTAATCAATCAATCAATCAATCTATCTATCTATCTATCCATCTAGGAGGTAAAAAATCAAGAACCAGTAGATTGTTATTCTTCTCATTGCTACTTACTACAAATTATATATCATCATATATAGTTTTAGAAAAGGCTCTTTTATTTGAAGATCTCAAATATATGTGAATAAATGACAAATAGGATCATATTTGTACCAACATATATCATTTTCTTTTCTTGAAAGAATTCTAGAATCAAATTAACCAGTAACTATATAAACAGGGTAATACATATCTTGTGTTTAGTTCTTAACTAGGTAATAAAGACATAATCACAAAAAAACTATTTTCACTAGATGAAATGTTTGAAAATAAATGAATATTAAAGGTTGTTGAAATCTTTACAAATTAATATATTTAGAATTTTAAAATGTTAAAATTATCCTTTGAAAGCTACATTTTACCTTTTAAAGTTATCTTAAATTTAAAATATTACTGACAGAATGGTGTTTGAAGAATAGAGTCCCTTTGCCTTCCTCCCAATAAAATGGTGACCTAAATACTGAAATATACACTAGGAATCACTAAAATAAAAATTATAGAAACTATACCTTATTACTTCATTTTAAGAAATAAACTTTTCATTATAAAGCAAGATTAAAATTTTTAAACTAGTTGCCTTTAGAATTTTTCTACTCCTTAAAATAGAAGACACAAATGTAATTAATTAAGGGGGTGGAAGGGAGAATGGGATCAGAACTGGGATGGGAAGAGTGCATTGGACTGTGGTGATGGCACATGGGTGAACTGGAGGTGGGAAGCCCATGGGGATTACAATTGAAATGGAAAAATGCACAAAATGAAGAATAATGTAAAAAAAAAACAACACACAAAAAAGAAGACAAATAATTATGGCAATTTTGAGGCAGAGATGAGAATTAATGGGATAACTGTAGCAACTATAACATAATGAAGATCTGTGATTTCCTAAGGTGCCAGTATCACAATACTACTGTGACTGACTGCCTATATTTATAATTAAAAGAAACTCGCTTTCATTAGCATTTAATGAAAATGAGGATGCATTCTAATTTCCCACTCAAGTTCATTTTCCTCTTAGTGAAACTGAGAAGCCAATATTTAATGCTACCTAAGTTGCAACATTGATTTCTTTTGACTGTTTGAAATGCATGTCCACAAAATCTCCCCTTCATTTTGTTGAATATCCTCAAAGGTCTAGTTGTTCAAATCTATTTTCACTATAGATGATACAGGAAGCATCAGCCATTTTGAAAGCATATAAGACTTAACTTTTAAAATGTTCTTTCTTGAGTTTCAAATGCCAAAGCTGCACTGCGTCATGTTCCAGCCAACCCAAGATAAGGAGCAGCAAGCAATGTCAGCAGTGCCTCTGTTGGGGACAAATAAGTAAAAAAAAAACTGCAAAAACGGCAATGAACATGGGCCCTCGCTGGTGGGGCAACAGGTTAAAACACAACACTATGAAGTGGCAGCATGAGTTCGATCCCTGACCAGGGAGGTGACCCACATGGCACAGCAGACCTCTCCTGACCCACCTGCTGCTCCCCTCAGCAGTATACTTCGACTATCTGCCTGTTCTGCTCCCCACTCTGTCTCTGGTGAATCCTCTCACCTCCACACCTCTGGCCTGTACCCCAGTTTGGTATGCATAAAAAGCAGCAAGTAACTCTTCTTCCAAGTACAGCCATTCAGTACTGGTACATTTTATTTTACTCCAGTATGCTTTTCAAGAAACACTGATCCTGGTCTTAGATTTTCATTCAGTAAACAGGTTAACCTCAGTAGACATACACACACCTGTTTTTTAAATAATTATTTTTAAGTTTTTTTTTAATGCTTACAGAACTGGGGTACAGGCCAGAGGTGCAGGGGTGGTGAGAGGCTTCACCAGAGACAGAGTGGGGAGTAGAACAGCCAGACTGATAAAGTACATTGCTCAGGGGAGCATCGGGAGGGTCGGGAGAGGTCTGCTGTGCCATGTTGGTCAGCTCCCTGGCTGGGGATTGAACTTGTGCTGCAGTGGCTTCGGACAGCTTCATAATGCAGTGTTTTAACCTGTTGCGCCACCAGGGAGTGCCCAAGAAAGACTTTTTTTTTTAAAGATTATTTACTTATGCATACAGAACTAGGGTATAGGCCATAGTTGCAGGGGCAGTGAAAGGATTCCAGAGACAGAGTGGGGAGCAGAACAGGTCAACTGATGAAGTACAATGCTGAGGGGAGCAGCGGGTGGGTCAGGAGAGGTCTGCTGAACCATGTGGATCACCTTTGGGGCGAGGATCGAACTTATGCTGAATTGGCTTTAGCTTCTTAGTGCTGTGCTTTAATCCTCTGTGCCACCAGGGAGGGCCTAAAACACTTTTGTAATGCCTACAGTGTGCCAGGCATTTTATAAAATGCTTACCAGGCTTCCTGCAAATAAGTTTATTACTAAATCACATCTCAGTGAAGTTCCTAGAAGTATCCTGTTTTTCTTTTTAAGATTATACCTTATGTTGAAGCGAAGCACTGCAAAGCTGGCATGGCAGCTCCAGTGTGAGTTTGATTCCCCACCCTGAAAGGGACCCACTTGGCACAGCAGACCTCTCCTGTCACCCTCTTCTCCCCTCAGCAGTATACTTCATCGATCTGCTTGTTTTGCTCCCCACTCTGTCTCTGGTGAATGCTCTCACTATCACCTCTGGGCTTGTACCCCAGTTCTATATGAATAAATATTAAAAAAAGATTATACCTTATGTAACCTGTCTTATGCAAATTGTCACATTAAAAAATGTACTTCATTCAGAAACTGATTACCCAAATGTTTCTTAAGAGAATCTTATATTTATATAAATTTATGTACAGTTACATTTTATTACTTTTACATAGAAGAACTGGGGTGTAGGCCAGAGGTGTGGTGAGTGGATTCACAGGGGCAGAGTGGGCAGCAGAACAGGGGGACTTACTGAAATACACTGCTGAGGGGAGCAGCAGGCGGATTAGGCGAGATCTGCTGTGCTACGTGTGTCACCTGCCTGGTCAGTAGTGCTGAGATTAGGCCATGGAAGGGGCGGGTGGTGAATCATATTTTATTTTCTTAAAGTATTAGTGACATAAGTAAAAATCATCTCCCCCTTCCCTAACATCTTCATTTGTTTATTTTTGTTTTGAAAACATTGTTTCCTCTGTTTAGATAACCTACTTTCTCCTGGGCCTGAGCTAGTTTTCATATGGCTATTTTCTCTAAGGTTGTTTTCAGCCTAATTCCACAGAGCCAGGCCTCAGAACTAACAAGTGTGTCTGTTTAGCAGGCAGATTTCTGGGCTCCACTAAAGATCTGTTGAGTCAGCACTTTGCTAATGAGCTTAGGAACCTGCATTTTGACAGGCTCCTCAAACAAGCCTTATGCATGGTGTGGTTTTAGAACTACTGCTTTTGAATCTAAAGACTTTCAGCTTTAGACAGAAAGCTACTAATAAACTATTTATATAAAAACCACTCTATGATTTAGTTTTTTGTACATAGAACTAAGATGATGACATCCATTTTTTCTTTGTTTAATACTTTCAAAACATGTTTTTAACATGCTAACTATGAATTATTAACTAGTCTATTTTGCTAAGCATAGCTAGACTTTTAAATTTCATCTTCAAAAAAGTTACACTTTCACATGAAAATCAATTCGTGAAAACATGCTTCAGTCATCAGATGACTATGTCATTGTACGCTTCCATTGTGGTATTCAGCTGAACCACGGCCTCTCGTGAGACTAACTGTCCTGGGGCTAATAGCACTGGGCTTGCGATCCAGCCCTAATGCTTACTGAATGTTGAGTTCAGTTTCTTTAACTGCCCAAGGTGGTTGTGAACAGCAAATCAAGTATGGCAAACTGAACCTTTTAGGTATATAAAAGTAGGAGATGTAGAAAGCCTTCTGGATGTTTATGCCACATATTTTCTGAATAGCACCATAAGGGCAGGAATGTCAGAATAGACAGTCATAATTGGGCAACTCAATTTTGTGGATCACTATCTAAAACCAGTTTTAAGAAATCAGATTAAATTAGATATTACTTCAATTATATTTGGTTAACCTCAAAAGGTACCTCATATTCAGAGGACACATATAGGCTCTTTTAAAAATATATGCAAGTGTCTTTTCTCAAAGTTTTATTTGCTCTTAGAATATTTTAATACCTAAAGAGAACAATTTCTTTTTTTTTATTTTAAAGATTTATTTATTTGTGCATACAGAACTGGGGTGCAGGCCAGAGGCTCAGGGGCAGTGAGAGGCTTCACCAGAGACAGAGTGGGGAATAGAGCAGGCAGATCTACGAGGTACACTGCTGAGGGGAGCAGCGGGCGGGTCAGGAGAGGTCTGCCACGCCATGTGGTCACCTCCTGGGCAGGTGGGAATGGAACTCATGAGGAAGCGGCTTTAGATTCTCAGTACAGTGCTTTACCCGCTGCACCACCAGGGAGGGCCAAGAGAACAATTTCTTAAAGAAGAAATTTCCGCTTTCTATCCAGGTCCCAGGGCAGATGCTGTCAGGCTTAAGCCCAAGTACAATAGCTACTATTTTATTTTCAATTAAACATACAAAAATGACAGTATTCCTAGTAAATTTTACAATGTACAGGGCATATTTTGTATCCTTTATTTTGCACAACTATTTTGTAAGCTAAATTTTTTCTTTTCATCAAAAAATAAAACCAGGACCTTTGTGGTAGCACAAAGGGGTTAAAGACTCAGCACTAATGAAGCTATATGCAGCCACTGCAGGACAAGTTCGATCCTTGGCCAGGGAGGTGACCCAAATGGTGCAGCAGACCTCTCCTGTCTTGCCTGCTGCTCCCCTCAGCAATGTATTTCAGTGGGTCTCCTGTTTGTCTCTGGTGAATCCTATCTATCCCTCCACCCCTTTCATCTCTGGCTTATACCCCAGTTCTTGTATGCATAAAATAAAAAATCAATAAAAAAAAAAAAACTTCAAAAAACCCAAAGCCATGGAGTCATCATATCATTTTAATTGTTTCATATCCAATAATCAAGTTGAAAATTATTTCACAAGTTTCTATATTTGAGAAATTCAGATCTTTCTAAATTGCAATTTTGAAGAATTTTTTATTGTTCATGGAGATTAACTTCATACATACCTTTATGTATCATATAATAAGAAAGATGAGACTTTGGAGTTTCTGGGATCAGCATGAAGTATATTTTTCCAGAGATATAAAAACTTATTACAAGGCTCTCCCTGGTGGTGCAAGGAGTTAAAGTACAGCACTACTAAGTAGTCCTTAGCCACTGTAGCACGAGTTCAATCCCCAGCCAGGAAGGCTTGGCAGACCTCTTCCTATCTTGCCTGCGGC